ACAGTCCAGTGATCATAAGAAATCTAAAGCTGTTGCACAATTATATTACTATTACTTAAAAATGATTGTTCAAGGCAGTGATGAATGTAGCATTTTTGCACCACATGTCTTTCTATGAAAAAAGTATTCCTCTGTTTTTTTCAAGCACAGAAGAATGTATAGGGCAGGCCTAGGTCACTTTGGAGCATGTTCTGCTCTGTATGGTGCATATGTTAATACAGTTCAGTGATTTATAAGAAAAAAGATATAAAGCTGTTGTACAATTATATTTCTATTACTTGAAGTGATAAGTATTACTTAAAATGATTGTTCAAGGCAGTGGAGAGTATAATATTTTGGTCTCATAGAGGCATGTTGTTGAAGGCACAGGCCTGTATTATTATTTTTCTGCTTTCAATAAACAGCAGTATTGATTTTCCAAATTACTTTGTATGACTGTTTTGCACAGTTATATCATAGGCATATTTAATTTAATGCACTGCAATATGAATGTCTAATTTTGGCCCGTGACCCTCCACCCTGAGCCATTTTTGGCCCTCAAATGAGAAGAATTGGGGCACCCCTGGTCTAGGCCTATAGCAGCATAACTAAGGGATGGTTCAGGACTCACCTGAGCAGGCCCTTACTATAAGCTTTATCAAAGAAGAACATCTTAAGCCTACTCTTAAATGTGGTGAGGGTGTCTGCCTCCTGAACCACAACTGGAAGCTGATTCCACAGGAGAGGAGCTTGGTAACTGAAGGCTCTGGCTCCTGTTCTACTTTTAGAGACTATAGGAACCACAAGTAGCCCTGCATTCAGAGAATGCAGTGTTCTAGAGGGGTAATAGGGTACTATGAGCTCTTTAAGATATGAAGGGGCCTGACCATGAAGAGCTTTGTAGGTGAGGAGGAGGATTTTAAAGTCTATTCTACATTTTACAGGGAGCCAGTGCAGAGAAGCTAGTACAGGAAAGATGTGATATCTTTTCCTAGTTCCTGTCAGTACTCATGCTGCAGCGTTCTGAATTAATTGGAGTGTCTTAGTGGACTTATTGGGGCAGCCTGATAATAAGGAATTGCAGTAATCCAGCCTAGAAGTAACAAATGCATGGATTAGTTTTTCTGCATCCGTCTGTGACAGAATGTGTCTAATTTTTGTAATATTACATAAATGAAAGAAGGCAGTCCTAGAGGTTTGCTTTATGTGGGAATTAAATGACATGTCCTGATCAAAGATAACTCCAAGGTTTCTGACAGTGGTGCTAGAGGCCAAGGTAATGCCATCTAGAGTAACTATATCTTTAGACCGTGAGTCTCTAAGGTTTTTGGGGCCAAGTAGAAGAATTTCATTTCTTTCTGAGTTTAGCATCAGAAAATTGCAGCTCATCCAGGATTTTATGTCCTTAAGACATGTTTGTAATTTAGATAATTGATTAAATTCATTGGGCTTGATCGATAGATATAACTGCATATCATCTGCATAACAATGAAAGTTAATGGAGTGATTCCTAATAATGTCGCCTAAAGGTAGCATATATAAAGTAAATAGTATTGGTCCAAGTACAGAACCTTGTGGAACTCCATGACTAACTGTAGTATTTATGGAAGATTCATCGTTAACGTGTACAAACTGAGAACGATCTGATAAGTATGACCTAAACCAGCTTAGTACGGTTCTTTTAATGCCAATTTGATGCTCAAGTCTCTGTAAAACAATATCATGGTCAATGGTATCAAATGCAGCACTAAGATCTAATAATAAAGTACAGAGACAAGTCCATTGTCGGAAGCAATCAAATGGTCATTATTAACTTTAAGCAGAGCTGTCTCTGTGCTGCTAAAAAAAACAAAGTTGGCAGAACTTAAAATTGTAAGGCAACAAACTTCAGGCTGATTTTAAGTTAGGGAATTCAACTTAACGGTTTAAGTTTTGCTTTTAAGTTTGTTCAACTTTCATTTTTAAGTTATCTCAACTCACGTAACCCTAGCTCAAGTTGTAGTTACTTATAATTTCACATTAACTCAACTTTGAATTCTTACTTGTATTAACTCTATTCAAGTTGTACTAACTTATAATTTCACATTATTTCAACTTTGAATCCTTACTTCTACTAACTCAACTCAAGTTGTAGTAACTTATAATTTAACATTATCTCAACTTTGAATGCTTATTTCTACTAACTCAAATTAAGTTGTGGTAACTCATAATTTAACATTATCTCAACTTTGAATGCTTACTCTACTCAGAGTTATAGTAACTTTTAATGTCACAATGTCACAACTTTGGGTTCTCATCTGTCAGAGTAATTAGTGTTAGTGTTAGAGAGTAATTTGAATCTATACATAGTACTATACTTAATTCTAGTAATTTAGATTTATCAATTAGGACCCACAAATTACCATCAAATGTTTAAATTATTACAGATGCATTGTCTATATTCAAAAAAATTTTATTTTATCAGAACACTTGAATTGGCAGTGCTGAGACCCATACCTGTCACAGTCTTAGCACTTAACTTGTACTGAAACACTGCATATTAGAATCTTAACATCAAAATACAATGAGGTAGTAAAACATGGTGAGTCAACAAGGTGGAGTAATCTACACCAATATGTAATATTTAATAATAATTGTTAAATTAAGAAGATTCGGTTACCAAAAGATATACCTCATCGGTTGAAATCAAACTGCATACAGAAATAGTGTCGTCCAGAATTGCCAGTCTAACAAAACTTATAGACTATAAAATAACAAATATTTAGGTCCAGAAGTTTCAGACTCAGAACTAGTACTGGCAAAAAGATATGTGTCATTGATTAACATACAATTAAATCTTAACATAAGCCACATGGTTACGAAAAAAGTATTCTGGAACATGCATTTTGGGACATGGGCAGTGATGAAGTCAGAAAGAAAAGAAGTTTGACGTTAAGAGTTTGTGAATAGCAGAAAGACAGGTTTAAAATAACAGGTGAATTAACAGGACTTTTGCAGGTCACAATTTGAGTGAGAACGGGAGAAAGTGTATTCAGTAAGAAGAAAGAAAGTTAGGTGACAATGAGAGGAGATCAGATGATAAGAAATGAGAGAAGAGAGGGGAAAGGGGGAGAGAAGAGAGGTGGAGAGAGGGAACTTGAGAAAAAGAGAGAAAAGGGAAAGAGAGTAAAAGTACAAGATGTAGAAGATTCATCTCTGGCAAATGGCAACAAGAACGTGCAATTCACAACTGTCTCAGAACATAACAATGTTCTCAGCTAACTTGCTGGATTCACTGAAAGAGTTTGTTTTTGAGGGATTTCACCCTTGCAGAGAAATCTGTCCCAAGTTCCATGAAAACCTTCGGAATGGTTTCAAAAGTGTACCTCAGTTCTTTTGGGTACTGGAGGTTCAAAGCATAGATCAGCCCAAAAAGGTATGCAAAAGCTGCCGGCAGGTCAGGGACATCCTGAAAGACGATGGCTTCTTCTACAATCACAGCAACGTTTATGACACTTGCAGGACCTGAACTATCATCATCCTCCAGCACAGTCAGGATTCCCACAGTGAGGCCCTCCGTTATGGAGAGAATTTTGTTCCTTTATTATTCAATCAAATAGAATAGATTTGAAACCTGAACGCAGTGCCAGTTTCCACTGTGTAGCGGGCTGCCGCTACTCCTCCCAGCTCCCGTTCTCGCTACAGCTGTTCTAATGTCAACAAACACAGGTGGCGAATAATTAAAATCACAGGACATGTCTTTTGGTCTGATTATACAGATCAGTGGTGCTGAAATTTGCGTTTCTCTTCTATAGCCTACACATTCCACATCTCTGAGGTCAAAAGCATCATTCAGTGTCAAGTCGGACCGTCTGACGCAGCTGCTCCTGTATAAACCAGTAATTCTGGCTGGTTAGAAATATGTGCGTGAATTTGTTAAATTATTCGCCACGTGTGTTTGTTGACATTAGAACAGCTGTAGCGAGAACGGGAGCCGGGAGGAGTAGCGGCAGCCCGCTACACAGTGGAAACTGGCACCGCGTTCAGCGGTTGTTCAGTAATCCACGGTACTACTGTTGTGTAGGAACCGTGACGTTTTGGCACCGCGAGTACCATGCGACACTAAATGTTTAAATCACAGCCCTACATTGTAGGATGTAGCCAGGTCAAACCAACCAATAGAAACTCTTCTCTCATCCACCAGCGTAGGCCCCGCCCGTCAAGTGCAGTTGAATTCGCAAGCAAAACTTTATAACTGGCAAGTAAAGAGGACTGATTTATAAGCAAAATGGTCGTATGTTTTTACTTACAAACATTAGTTTTGATTGAAGTTGAAGAAATATGTTCTCTCATATTTTTTTTTCAATTGCAATCTGTTCTGTTTCGATCTCAAAAAAATGTTTTTTGATTGCCACTTACTCTTTTTTGCTCTCAAATCTCTTTTTTGGTTTCAAATCTATTCTATTTGATTGAATAATAAAGGAACAAAATTCTCTCCATACTTTGTCTGCTCCTCTTCTGGATCAGTTGCCTGGAGACAGAAAGCAAATAACCAACACAATAGTAAATCAAACTGAAACACATTTATCATTAAATACTGTGGCTCAGAATAGGCTTTCATCTAAAATGATCCCAAATATTGTATACATTTGTTGTTTGACATATTCAATTCAATTCAATTCAATTTTATTTGTATAGCGCCAATTCATAACAGAAGTTATCTCAGGACACTTTTCAGATAGAGCAGGTCTAGACCGAACTCTTTAACATTAATTACAGAGACCCAACAGTACCACCATGAGCAAGCACTTGGCGACAAGGGCAAGGAAAAACTGCCTGTTAAAAGGCAGAAACCTAGGACAGATCCTCCGGCTCTAGGTGGGTGGTCGTCTGTCTCGACCAGTTGGGGGGTGAGAGAGAGAGAGAGAGAGAGAGAGAGAGAGAGAGCGACAGACAGACAGACAGGTGCACAGCAACAACAGTATTGGCAATGGCAGTCAAGCAGGACCATGGCAGGAGGCTCCACCAGGATCCACGAGAACCTGCGAGACGAGAAAGCACAAGAACTCCGGGGAAGAAGTGGAGTTAGTAACATGCATTAAAGGGACATGAATGAGTGCAGAAAGAGAGAGGAAGAGAGTAGCTCAGTGCACCATGGGAAATCCCCCGATAGTCTAGGCCTATAGCAGCATAACTAAGGGATGGTTCAGGACTCACCTGATCCAGCCCTAACTATAAGCTTTATCAAAGAGGAATGTCTTAAGCCTACTCTTGAATGTGGTGAGGGTGTCTGCCTCCCGAACCACAACTGGAAGCTGGTTCCACAGGAGAGGAGCTTGGTAACTGAAGGCTCTGGCTCCTGTTCTACTTTTAGAGACTATAGGAACCACAAGTAGCCCAGCATTCAGAGAACGTAGTGTTCTATATTAAACATTTCCATCTCATACCCAAAAAATGTAATCCACATATATGACATCAGTTATATCATGCCATTGGCAGCAAAACTTTGGGCACTGGGGCAGACAAAGAATGCGAAAAATTAGAAAATAGAAAAACAGTCAAGAATGGGACAAAAGGGCAGAAAGTTAAAGGCTGAAGTCAGAGTCAAGTACAGTATTAATAACAGATTAAGACTCTATTTCTCATCCTATATATATTTTCAGTTTCTACAAACAAGTCACTCACAAGACAGTTCCTGAACAGCTTCTCATGTCTACCACGTAGATACAAGGGACGGCCCTTCTGAAGGGCTTAAAGTTTAAAAAAATCCTGAGCCTGAACTTTTTTTCGACGGGGAAGGGGTAGTGGATCCGATGCATACGCTAGGCGATTTGGCAAATTTTGGCATTGTGCTTGACAGGGTACAAGATGACCTACCTTTGTGACGTCGAAGAACTTTTTTGCCGCTAGTAGCATATATTAGCTTCTTCGCGCACAACACACAGAAACAAGTGTGGTATATTAGGTAGCGATGATGTGAAGATGTATTGAAGAGAAGTCCGCTGACACCATCTTGATTTTATATAAAGGTTTATTACAAAAAAGTAAAGCATCATTTCAAGCCCTGGGAGCTTGGAGAGCATCCTGCCAAATAAATAGCTCTATCTGAACATAGGCTTTATATAGGTCTATTGTTTATTCAAGAAAATAGGAAAGAAACATCTGGTTCTAGGACAGATATGTGAGGTAAAACAGGGAGATGGGGGATTTATTAAGATAAAGGTCAGAGGCCATTGAGAGGCCCCTAGCCTAAACATTTCATAGTAAGAATTACGACGTTGAACCTCATGTCCTACTAACACTGCATATGTTGACAAAAATATCACTTGAACTTATAAAAAATGTAACTTAAATTTATAGGCCTTCAGACACCACACAAGCACCTGGCTCTCTTAATGTTTGGCACCAGCTACCAAAAGGCTTGCCGTCTCCGCCCCTTTCTTCTATCCACATCCACACATAAGTCCTTTTTCAGTAAGGTCGTCTTCTCCAGGCTTCATGAATTTCCCCTCCATCTTTGGATTTCAGTGACACAAACGCCGGCCTGGATGCTGCGTTCAAGACCACTTGGAGGTAACCGAGAGGTCATAGTGTACATGCTACAGGTTAAGTCAGATGAGAAAAGCAAAGCGTGGCATATTGTCACATCCGCGGAACACTGAAAACCTACGCAGCAGCAATTTATGCTTATTTTGGAAGAAGATGAAAATACGTGTAATTTCCGAGTTTGACGCTGTTCAATTTATTTTCCCCAATTCACAGCTCGTTTTTTCCTATGTTGTCTGGAACGCAGCATCAACTGCTGCTAGCCTCCCGTGGTTACTGTTGCTATGTCTGTCACAACCGTTGTGTACATCCATGGTCACAACAGTAGCTATGCACGTCATTGCGTGTGCATAGTTACGATTGCTAACTTTGGATTGGACAGTAGCGGTTTGAGGGAGGGGCTTGACAATATCCCGCATCAACAGGTTTTTTTTTTATGTTTTTTTTTTATTATGAATCGCAGTTAAATGCCACATGCCGGAGATCCAGCATGATGACGGAATACTTTAAGCCCTGCCTTCAAGGCTGCAGTCTGTCGATGTGCTGTGATGTTGGATGTCTAAAACACAAAAGGTTGGAAGAAACATTATGACAATATGCAACTATCATGTAGAAAGCTCAGAGCAAACATGCAAACAACTTTATTCTTCCACATCCAACAAACACCTGTTAAATCCTTTGTTTGGTCTTCACAAACTCCTTAAATAAAAATGACCACCTAGTCACATCTTTGTCTGTCCCTTAGGTAGTGTACAGTGGGTTTATTCTGAGGGTTTGTCAGTATGAGCAACATCTGATATTGAATCCATTGTAGAAAATGATTAGTGCAGTTATATATATATATATTTTTTTTAAATCCAAGAATTCCTTGTTATGCATTTAAGTTCATAATTTACAGAATATAATGAGATCATTATGTCTAAAATTCACCTCCTCATCCAGTCGGTCAAGGAGTTGATCCATCTCAGGTGGAAAAGCTGTTCTCCTAGCCCGATAGAGTCTAAGGAGCCTTGGAGTGTGCTGATTAATGGCTGCTCTGAAGTTGTCTATTAGGTTCTTGTTGGTAATCCGATGGAACTCTTCACTGATCTGTTGGAAAATGGAGAATAGCAAATATAAATCTTCAATACAAAGTCCTACAATTCCAACACCATCCTAATATAAAAATATGCATTTTATATACAGAAGCAACTCAAGACTCTTATTTTGAATAATAATAATTTCTTTGCTCAGGTTCTTACCTCTTGCTCACAAAACAGAGCAGGGCACTACCCCTGAACCTCTGACACCATAGGCTCCACAATCTCCTTGCACCTCAGGGAGAAAGTCAGCGCCATCTTTTGCTGTAAGAGTTCAACATTCTTATTCCTCTTCATATATTCCTCAACCAGAGCCAGTCTTTCCTCCTCCAGCGAGTCAGTGTGATTATTTGGATGGTCAGGGACATGATTAATTTCCCCTCGCTTTGCTTTCTTCAAAGAAGAACCTGCAGCATCATCTTCATCGCATCGTCTTTTCCTATTAATGCTGACCTCGATACACCCTGCCTGACGTAGCTGTAATTACCAAGTTTGTATTTTATGCTCATTTTCCATCCATCATACCCTGTTCCACTGCCCAGTTCTCGAAGGCAGGGTTGCTTACTGACAAGAGCCAAAGCAACTGACCCAATCTGGTCTTGATCAGGATAGGCTTTCACTTCAAAAACTGCTTGAGCAATCTTGTCCAAAATGTCCATCTTCATGTCTCTTGTTAGGTTGATGCCCTTCTTGGTCTTTTCATATGCCTCATTGCCTGCACGCAACTTTAATTCCACATCATAGGAGAAGGCTGGAACGGGAGAAGGTGAAGGCCATCCAGATACACTTCGTAGATAGTCGCTGATGAAACCTTAAGGGCTCTGGGGTGACTCTAGTGGATAAGCTGGCTGTGTCCAGGGAAGACCCTGAATCAACAGAGTCTGACTCTTGCTGAGCAAGTGTAGGTGGATCATCCCAAAGAATGTGCAAGATGGCACGTTCAGGTGGCAACTCGTGGATATCAATCAAATTACAGAGAGCGTTATTAAAGTCTGGTTCTTCAAACTGTAGTGTGAAGCTGCCTTGAAGTTCAAGTTTTCTATAAGAATGTTTTGTAAGTGTTCAACTGATTCAGGCACTTCAGAGAGCACCACCTTACGAGACATTCTTGGGCAGTTTTCACCAGCAGCAATAAACCCTGTGTTAGATGAGAAAAGAATAAGAAAATAGGGAAGGTTTAGGTTGCAGAGGGCATAAAACCTAAACAATTTCTAGCAAATTGTATTAACAATCGATGCAGAAAGAAGTTGTATTGTGCCAGAACTACCTACAAATCATGGTTATAGTATGTGCTGCTTGTGTGCAAATCAAATCTTAAAGACAAAGCAGATGCCTCCACAGGGAATAAAGTTAGTTGAGTCAATGTACATGTCTTAATGGTCCAGGCTGCACAGGTGAGCAATATCAGTTGACAACCCTACAACCTCCCATACATCTTCTATACTAAACAATGTTAGATAAAGCAGTACTCAATACAGATATACAGAGTATGGGTGAGTATGGAGTCTGATCACAATTAATATTAATTTATGCATACAAAAGGATACATACATGTATTTTTAGGACTTTTTGAAATTGGAATTATTGTTGTATATAAATATTTTAAAAATCCACAGAAAAAAAATAAGGTTCAGAAATTATTTCTGATGTACACACGAATAATTCTTGTTTTAAATAAAAATAATATGTATTTAAAAGTATTTGCAATTTTCATCAAAAACATATTTGGAGGTTGTCACATTTACATACAAACTTCATTGCATTTGTGTGTGGACTTTGTGAGACTCGATTTCACTAATGCATTATTTAGCCTTTCATCCATAGACATATACACAATACTAAAAAACAAAAACCTCTCAGATGTCAAATTTTATTACCTGTTATTACCTTAGTCGTTCACACAGATAAGTGATAATTCTCCTGGCATGCATGATTAAATATGTTTGAGTTACGAATACTTGCTAAGTTAATGATGTGGCATTTAACACTAGCGTTAGGTAACAAGATAGCTTTATAATGTTTATAGATGACCAAGAATCATCCATTTGCCTGCTAGTTGACTAACCTAGACAGCTTTCATTGAAACATATTAACATTCAATCATGCATGACTGGATTGTTATAACTTACATGTGTGGACAGCAGCTACCAGATTCCATATTGAGATTGACCTGCATTTCGATGCAATGCTATGCGATCACATGACATTAAAGCACACCCTCAAATTTACACTTGTGTGATCATCTGAAATGGAGGGAGCCATCTTATGAGACAAATCTGAATCCATAGAAGATAATTAAATGTTAACATATTGACTGACTACAGATAAGCTTCTTTTTTTAAAAATGCTTTTGTGAAATTGAGCCATGACAGGAAAGTCTCAAAAACCCGCAGAAATGGAGTGAATTCCACACATGACAAGCAGATTGTAAATGCAGGTTAGTACAGAAATGT